GAAAAAAAAAAAAAAAGAAAGAATCCTATTTTCTTTAAAGAACACAGAGGTGTCTTTCCGTCTCATTCTGTCTATTGAGTTATCCATCTTACTTTCCTGAGTCAATTTCACTGCCGAAGTTTATTCGCTGTTTAAAACTGAAGTGTTGGCTGGGCACGGTGGCTCACGCCTCTAGTCCCAGGACTTGGCCAGGCCGAGGTGGATGGATCACTTGAGGTCAGGAGTTCAAGACCAGCCTGGCCAACATCATGAAACCCCATCTCTACTAAAACTATATAAATAAGCTGGGTATAGTGGCGCATACCTATAGTTCCAGCTACTTGGGAGGCGGAGACAGGAGAATTGCCTGAACCCAGGAGGCAGAGGTTACAGTGAGCCGAGATCGCACCACTGCACTACAGCTTGGGCAATAGAGCAAGACTCCGTCTCAAAAAAAAAAAAGATGTTTTTAACAACTATGTTAAAGAACTTTTAAATCTAATGAAACATGTATTTAATAGTTAAAATGAGTTTGACAGCATATATACTAATTTGTTGTTTTGGTTTGGTTTTTTTTTGAGACAGGGTCTCATTATGTTGCCCAGGCTGGAGTACAGTGGCACAATCTCAGCTCACTACAACCTCGGCCTCCTGGGCTCAACCTCAGCTCACTGCAACCTCAGCATCCTGGGCTCAACAAATTCTCCCATTTCAGCCTCCCCAGTAGCTGGCACTACAAGCATATGCTACCATAGCCAGCTAATTTCTCTATTTTCAGTACAGACATGGTTTCACCATGTTGCCCAGGCTGGTCTCAAACTCTTGACCTACAATGATGCAGCCCACCTCAGCCTCCCAAAGTGCTGGGATTACAGGCGTGGATCACTGTGCCTGACCAAAAAGTTTTAAATTTTATAGGTAACATTTTTGTGTAGAATTTTAACTATGAAAATTAAATATGTTAAAAATTTTTTTAAAAAAAAAGAAAATTAAATATGTGAAGAAATTTAAACATAACAGATATGAATTAGGATTTTAAAATGATCAGAATGGCTCTAGTGGTAAGCTATCTTGGTTGTGGCACATTTATTAATATTTAAATAATTATTAAAGATGCTTTTAAGACAATTTTAATTGCTCATATAGCATGATAATTATTGCAAAGAATAAAATTCCAAATTGTTATTAGAAACCTTCAAAACAAGAAGACAGCACGAGTCCTTGAGCTATAAAGAATATGAGGCTACAAACTTCAAGAAGTACACTCACAGAGACAAGTGAATAACAGCACAGGAGGGTCACTCCTTTAAAGACCTACTCTCTCCCACTGCCCCAACATTCCTCTGAAAAGATAATCTCTTAATTACAAGGAATGTCTAAGGCATGTGTCAGTAAAATGTATTAGGTATCTACTGTACAGTCCCAGAGATTATGCCAATAAGAACAAAACTCCATCTCAAAAAAAAAAAAAAAACATTAACATCACCAATAAGGGGGCTTCATGGCTTCATGTGCTCCAAATATAACCTGAGAAAGACACATTCATTTATGCAGTATTCCAGCCAAAAATATATAGCTTGAATCTAGTCATGAAGGAACAGACAACCCCAAAGTAAGGGACTGTCTAGAAAATAATTGGTTGGTATTCTGAAAAAATATCAATGTCATGAAAGACAAAGAAAGGCCAAAGAACTGTTCCAAATAAAGGGTGATTAAAGGCACACTCTAATAAAATATGTGATACTAAATTGAATCCTGTGCTGGGGAGGAAATTTGTTACACGACATAATTGGGACAAAAGACAAAATTAGGTTGTACATTAAGATTAAAGTATTCTAATAGTGTTACGTTTCCTGAACTTGATTAATAGTGCAGTGGTAATGTAAAATAATATGTTTTCTTAAAAAATGCACACTTAACAAGGCATAAATGGCCATAGGGTACACAAGCTACTCCCAAATGGTTTGGAGGAAGAGGAAAAATACACACACACACGTACACACAGAGTGCGCGCACACACACGCACAAAATAATTACGCAAAGATATCAAAATGTTAAAAATAGGTGAATCTGGCTGGGCACAGTAGCTCACACCTGTAATATCAGCACTTTGGGAGGCCAAGGCACGTGGATCACCAGAGGCCAGGAGCTCAAGACCAGCCTGACCAACATGGTGAAACCTCATCTCTACTAAATTAAAAAAAAAAAAGAACAGCCAGGCATGGTGGCACATGCCTGTGATCCCAGCTACCTGGGAGGCTGAGGCAGGAGAATCACTTGAACCCAAGAGGTGGAGACTGCAATGAGCTGAGATCGTGCCATTGCACTCAAGCCTGAGCAACAAGTGTAAAACTCCGTCTCAAAAAAAAAAAAGTTAATCTTGGTGGAGAAAAGTTGCTATACTGTTCTTGCAAACTCTGTAAAATAGAAATTATTTCAGGCCGGGCATGGTGGCTCACGCCTGTAATCCCAGCACTTTGGGAGGCCAAGACAGCGGATGACCTGAGGTCAGGAGTTAGAGACTAGCCTGGCCAACATGGTGAAACCCCATCTCTACTAAAAATACAAAAATTAGTCAGGCATGGTGGCATGTGCCTATAATCCCAGCTACTCGAAAAGCTGAGGCAGGAGAATCGCTT